CGAACTTCCGATAGAGTTTCCCTCTCTACAAAGGAATCATATGAAAGGAAGAAGTAAAGAGATTTTGTAGGAGAAGAAGAGTGCTCAATACAAAATATGAGATGGTGTATTGAAATAGACATCCAAGGGGTCCTATTTATAGAGGAAGAAGGGGTGTGAATGAAGTGGTGTGGGCCAAATCATGCATTCTTTCGAATAGAAGCAACACTTCAATTTAGCTAGCTTTTTACTCGAGCAATACTGTCAATATTTGAACAAAAACATTTTCGCTTGATTCTTGCCGAATCATCGCTCGAGCGATGATGTTATCTGGCCTCACACATTTTTTATTTTATTATTTTCTTTCTTCCAACTTTTGGATCGCAATTTCTTATTCATCCGAAATTGGTTTCGAGTGTCCAAATATACTACAATGATCTACTCGACGAGTAGAATAAGTTAGTCTATTTACTTTCATAATTTAACCATCGAATTGAGTTCGAATATTTGGCCGAAGTTGATATGTTAGTCACACTTTTTCGATTTTTGTTTTTATACTCAACCAATTTCCTTCAATTCGAAACCAAGTTCCAACAGTATTGATCGATGCTCATGGTTCCTTTCCTTGATTTTTGAAGTTCACCAGTAAGAAATGTTATCCTGGATTTGCTTTCACTGCCATAGCTCTCTTTCACCGGTATCTTTGGTGTAACAAAAATTGCTGAAAAGTTGATTAGGCAATGGAGGAGATAAGCTGAGTAACTGATGGTATGATAAGCAGAAGGTTGGCTTATCTTGACACTCCCTGAGAGTAGTAAGATAGTGAATAGTGCTAGACGGATAATGAAAGTCAAACAACAAAATCCACATATATTTAAATTTTTGTTGGATATTGGTTAAATAAATTGAGAATTGAAAATCGATTAAAGTTCGTATCGAATTCGGCCAAATACTCAAAAGCTCGACTCAATCCGTTTAGGCAAAATTGTTTGCCACTTCGCCGCTTCGGGGCGCACAAACGGGGATCGACCTGCCCGGGCCGTTACAAAGAAGAATAATAGGTTAAAAACAATGTTAGTTATTCAATGTATAGCAAAGTCTCAGTTAGTTATATAACTTTATTTTTGTTAATTTTAAGTGATCGTTGTAGCTTATTTTCTATTTCATTATAATCACTTATTTAAAATTCATTACTTTTCTAATTGAATATTTAAATATTTTTAGTCAAATCACTTTTTATCACATATTTGTAAGAATCAAAAGTACTACTCATTCGATACTCATTTTTATCTATTTATAAATACTTCTGACACATAATTAATGTTATTAAATTTAATAATTATTTTGAAACTAAATAAAGTTCGAAATTAAATAGAAATATCATCATTTGACTGCACCGAAGACCATCGATATAATATTTGAGTAATGAAGTTGCATGTCAATTCATATCTTAAAGACTTTATTACGCCCATTTTTAATTTCGTCACACAAAGATCATCATGACATGCAATATAGTGACAATTTCCAACTTGAATGCTATACTTGATGCTTTTTTTGTAGATTAAAATCTTGACAAAAATTTAAGTCAAAGTCAACAAATAATTTTGATTTTATATTTTATGTGATTCACTACTTTTTAACCACACAAAGATTAATGAACAACGTTGCACCAAATTTGGTGCAAAATTGTTCATATAGTGTAATATATATAGTTTAATTATTAGTATTTTTTATTTTTCATTCATTTTATAACAAAACAAAATTTAATTTTTTTTTATTTTGTCATTCATTTTATAACACAAAAAATTTTAATTTCTATTATATCCTTTTATTATTTAATAATTTAATTTAATTTGTATTTGTTTTAATCTTGATTATTTTTTATTAATATAATAATATGTAATCAAGTAATAAATAATAACTAATGAATAATTAAATCAAGCTACTCATTAAAATCTAAAGTTACAAATTGATAATTACAAATTTAAAAAATCGGTAATTAAATAATTATTTTAAATAAATTAGTTTTTGAGAATTAAAAAATAAGGAGGAAACGAAATGTTCTTTGGATGTTTGAGAATAATTAAATAAGATGATGCGAAAGTCGCATGATTTGGTGTTCCGTTTATATAAAAGCCAATATATATATATTTAAAAAAGATACTTTCAAACATGTCAAACACGCTCTATATCTACTATTTCTATTTGCACATTCATTTTTACTTTCTCGAGGTAAATATTTAATTAACATAAAGATAGACCATAATCAAGTATGTCCTCAATTATCTAATGACGAAGTGTCTCAAAGATTAATGGTCATCGTTTTATTCGTAGATAGTTTAAATTTATTTATCTTTAACTCTTCCAAGTATTCACAACCACACACAAAGAAAATTCATATTTGACACGGAGTATTGAACAGAATATTCTATATACACAAAAAGTTATCTTTTTTATTTTTATTTTTTATTAGTACCATTGAATATTTTTATATTCGTATTTTTGTCTTTGTCATTTGAGCATTATCATGACATGCAACATATTGACAATTTCTATGTCACGTTAGACGTGGACATGGCATAATCAATGTCCAAACGCTACTTGCCCTAGAACCATTGTATTCTATGGTCTTTGCAAAAAATCTTCCAAATTTATAGTCTCTGTCTACTTTGTTCTATTCTCTTGTTTATATTTTTTATTTTTCCAAACTGATTATAGAAACTAATACATATGAGGTAGAATGCAAATAAGCAACAACCCCAGAATATTAAACCCTAGCCCTCGTCTTATCTCAAACAAACGAAGAGAAAGAGGATGGTGTAAAATTGGTACGTGCTATAAGTACAAAAACATTATGGTTGTTGGATATTGGTTAAATAAATTGAGAATTGAAAATCGATTAAAGTTTGTATCGAATTCGGCCAAATACTCAAAAGCTCGACTCAATCCGTTTAGGCAAAATTGTTTGCCACTTCGCCGCTTCGGGGCGCACAAACGGGGATCGACCTGCCCGGTCAGGTCGCGAGGGTCGAGGGGGCAGCGCCCCTCGTGGGGGGTCGGGGGCAACGCCCCCGAAAGAGAATTTTGATTTCTCTGCATGTATTGAAGGGTATATTTGGCATTTCGAAAACCAATATCGGATGAATGAGAAATTACGAAAAAAGACCTCAACCATTAGTGAATAGACACCTTTTCATAAATATGCATTGTTTGGAAATGGTGCATGGTTTGGTCTCAACCATTTCGTCCACACCCCTTCATGGTCTATAAATAGGACCCTTTGGGTGTCCTATTCCTCACAGTTTGATATGCAAAACGATTTCATCCTCTCTTCTATCCAAAATCAAAATCATTTCGTTTATTTTGATTTTCTTTCATTTCATCCTTGGAGTACATAAGCCTAAATTGGTTCGTTGTACTTGTGTTTTGGAGTGCTACAAACACAAGTGTAGCCGTTGTATCTTGGGAGTCGATTGCCGAAATTC